TCTGGAACATTGGTAAAGAAAAATGTTGTTGCTTGTTTGTAGAGACCCCAGTTATACGGCCCATCTCTCTGCATTTTTCGACCCTGGTATTGATCATCCCATGTTTTCCCCAAAACTCTCGGATCCCTGGTCCTTTGGTAGATTCTTCGACGAGATCCACCTTGCTCCCAGATCAGTGCTGATTGTCTATCCCTTGAACGATGTCCACCTCGATCCCTTCTCACTCTCTCTCTACCTCTCTCTCTCATGACTTGTCTCTGCATTATTTTTGGGTATTATGAAGACTTCCTAGAAAAATTTGACACATAAGTTAACACTTAATTGATAAAGTTATTAAAATATAATATAAATGTAGTTAGTTTAACTAGTTTCTAAATGTTGTATATATGTCTATATTTTTAAATTTTTTAACATTTAATTTCAAATAAAAAAATAATAATTTTTTTAATAAATATATTGTGAAATATGTTAAATCAAAAGATATCTATATTAATTCCCAAGCTCAAAAGCTCAGCTAGCAAATTAAGGAATAATTCTAAACTTTTGTTTTAGAATGCAGAGCTCAAAATCTGTAAGGACTACGGGGCAAAATCCATATGCTGGCAGAGAATGGAAAATCTTAATTAAGAGTGTCTTTGGTTTTGCACATACCTAGGGAAACTGTTGACCGCCTGCCCCTAGGGTTTAATTTCCCTAGAATGTCTTAACCAAACACACATTATGAAAGAATCTTTATTCTCTTTTTTTTTTTTTCGCATGTGTGTGAAATTTAAATTTTCATTCCAAAAGAATTGATTAGCAAAGCAGTGTCTAGTAAGAACTGTTACAAGAAAACAGATATCTCTACTCTTAGCACATGGGATTTAATTAGTTCTGAATCTTTATTTCTTGGGACTTTCAAATTATAATTATGAGGATATCTTACTAGCATATGATTTGCATTAATTATGAAGTAGCAGTCAATTACTAAAGTTTAAAGTTTGAAATTTGGTTACTAGTGTTGCATGGCATTCATGACACCTAGCATGGAAATTTTTGGTATGGTAATCTTTAGCTTGCTTCTTTTGCATTATATTTGCTCTAGGTTCGATTTATGTACGTGAATTATAAGGCAACTAATAATAATCTAACAGGGTTTTTGTGGCTCATTGGTATTTCTCTTGAGTGCCCTTCTACCATTTGTGTTAGAATATTGATATAAACATTATACAGTTCAATATATTTTATAATATATTTTTCAAAAAATATTATTTTTTATTTGAAATTAATAATAAAAAATTTAAAATTATAAATTTTAATAACTAAATTATAAATATTAACAAATATATTAAACCAGAAAATATACCAATTATTTTCTTTTGTGTTATAGTAACGTGTTGTGTGTGGGGTTTGTTATTGTATTTACTTGTTTGCATGACCCCGTGATGTGGGATTGTCTTTAACTTTTTCTTTATGTTAGAAAATGATTTTTTTTTTTATGGAGAATTACGAAATTCATTAATAAAAGGGAAAGATTATATAAATAATTTTTGTACTCATGAACATGGTAGGTAGCGAATAGAAGCCAAATTATGCTAGCCTTGGGGGAGAATAAATAGCCTGTAACAACTCTACTCCCCACTAATGATATTGTTTGTTTTAACCCATTGAGAACATTATGAGGGTAGTAGGAAGAAAATCGCAATGTTATAGATGTACTGTTATATAAAATTATAAATTTATAATTATAATGTATTATTAAATAAATATAATA